CTGTGCCTCATGGGATAAAGTAGATCACCTGCTTCCTTTTGTTGCCTGGTTCCATAGAGCCATGCACTGCACACGTGGTCATTAGAAAGGTAAAGTTATGGCAGCTACCATAACACACCAGGTGTGTGCTGGACATGCTTCCCTTTGACTCTGCTGATGCACGGCAGCTGGAAGTCAGCATGGCAGAGGGGGTCTATTGCTGCATACTGCCCGTTGCACTGTCTGTAAAAAGTAAGCTTATCCACACAGTGAAGTGCAAAAGCTTTCTGCTCAGACTGAAGGGCAAACTAATATAGTCCATTAGAGGACTGCTCAACCAAGGCAGGCTTAAGAGATTGTTTTTGCTGTCAGCTGCTGGATTTTTTTTTTTATTGTGTGTGCAATTTGAATAATGAATAATAATGTTATATAAGCTAATGTGATGAATTTATTGTGAGAGAGGCATTGACATTACTTTGGTCCTAACCATTTCACAAAAAAACATTTAATATGTTAAATATTTGTACTGTTTGTAATTAAAATATGGGATAGAATGGAATTATTCACAGAAAGCAAGATCAGTAATTGTATGATATGTGTGCTTAAGGCTTTAGAAAACACATTGAAAAGAATTTGTCCCTCTGCAGAAAAAAAAAAAGAAGATTAATCTTTATAGTTTAAGAAACTTTGTGTCATTAAGAAGACAATCTGACTCTGGAATCTGGGATGCTTGAGTATGTATAGCTGTAGTTTTCTTGGGTTTCCCGAGGTATGATCTTGAAAGGTTAAGGAAGTTGGCTAGGTTTGCAATTTTCCATACTTGGTTCTCCTGTGCTCTTTCTCCTTTCCTACTCTCTTATTTAGCAGCTTCTGTGGAACAGAGAAAATGTGATACTTTGCAATTTTTTCAGTGCCTCTTATTTGATCTTAATCCATCTCAGCAACCAGGATAAGACTCTAAGATGAAGCTAGCTGAAGATGCATGGGAGAAATCACATTTGGACTGTAAAGCTTTTAGCGATATAAGGTAAATCATAGAATAGTTGGAAAGGACCTTAAGATCATCTAGTTCCAACCCCCTGCCATGGGCAGGGACACCTCACACTAGACCATGTTGCCCACCCTGGCCTTGAACACTGCCAGGGATGGAGCATTTACCACTTCTTTGGGCAACCTGTTCCAGTGCCTCACCACCATAACAGTAAAGAACTTCTTCCTTGTACCTAACCTATGAAATGAAAATGCATTTTTTGCAGCATTTGATGTGGAGGATTGCTTCTGAGAGCAGATTTGTTTCTGTTGTTCTTTATGCTACCAGTAGATGGGTAGCAACAACTCTAACTTCAGTGGACTAACAGCATTTCCATTGGATGTGTTTGATCAGGAGAATGTTCAATACTGGTAGGGAATTAGTTGCTCTTTGTTTTCTTTCCTTTCTTCCCCCCCCCCCCCCCCCTTTCTTTTTCTCCAAGAACAGTCATGTTGTCCTCCCACCCATAGAGACAGTATTGCTTCTACAAAGAAATGAGCTTAAATGTGAGCACTTTAAATTTTCAGTCATTCCAGATATCTCTAATTGAGATGATACCAGCAATTAATGAGATGATTTTCCAGAATTATAGGAAAGGGGAGGGGCATTGTTCCATTTTTGTTTTCCACTCTGCAATAGTTCACGGTCAGTGCCTGAAGATGGTTACATATATTTGGTGCATATATTTTAAATGAAATCCAAATCTTACTTATGACAGTACTGACCTCAGTCCAAGAGACCTAAACTTCCAATTTATCCTGTAGAGATGTAAAATCACTACATGCTCACACAGAAATCCCACATGTGAAAGGGAGATGATTGGTTTGGAGGATTTTTTTGCCAGAATGGGGCACACAAAAGCCGGTTCATACAAGAAGTAAGGAGAGATGAGGAAAAAACAGGTTTATCTAGGTCATCCTTTCTCAGTACAAGCATGTTCTCTGTACTATTCCTCTGTATTTTTGCTAGTCCAGTTTCGAATAATTTAACAATGGTGTGTCTCATGCTTCCCTTGGGTAGGAAGTTAAAAGAAGTTCCTTGATACGTAGTAGTTGTCTTTGTCTTTCAGTCTCTGATAGGAGGTTCAAGAGAACCATTTTGTGCCATATTTGTAGCTGACTGTATATGTTTGTGTCACGGTATTTTGACCTGGTATCTGCAGTGTATTTAATCCTAATACATTTCTTCAAATCAGTAACATTACTATACCAAAACTAATGTGGCTTGTGAATTACTGTACATAATATCCCTATGTGGTATATTCATAGCATTTCATTTTTATTATTGCAGTCTTTACTGAGTGCACTATTTATCAGATTTTATAAGGAATGGGCTTTGCTAATGCTATCACTTGAGTGTAATGCTATTACTTGAGTGATTTTACTCAAGTGTCCTAAATTATGGCACCAGAGCAGGTGCTATTGTCTTCACTCTTGGAAAGAAAGGAAAAACCCTGAAATGATCCTGGACATTTATACCTAAAGGAAACAATCCTTTATATTAATATAAAAATATTATTTTGTACTCAGTCAAGGGTTGGCAGTCAGTTTAAACTTACATGTATATATAGCACACTGGAGCCTGCTAAGTACCTCTGTTTTCTTTATGGATGGAGCTTTGGTGCCAAGAGGTCTGCACCACACACAAGCATAGATATGCTTCTATCTGATGGATTGTCCCATAGTGAACCACATTGTATACAGGATGTTCAAACACGTATTGATTATGTGGTTCTGTAGTTTACAGCAGAATCATAACCTGATGCTTTTAAGTACGTATATGCAATCAATCTTCATGTGGAGGGGCTCAGTACAAAGGAAATATTTTATGGTATACACTAGATGTTAATCAAGTGACATTAGATTAAATGTATGTTATACATTTTTTAACCTCATCCCCATAGCATTATTGTGAATCTACACAGTTCTTACAAGCACCATCTTTGTGCTGACTATGGACTGTGAATATATAGTAAAGTTCATAGTGTGTATAACGCTATTGTGGTTTTAGTACCAGGTCTCATGGTCAGCTACAAGGGAAAACCTCATGTGACACAGATGCAAATTTTTTTATAAGGCTACTTTTATGTTTGTTACATATCTATAAAACTTTCCTTCAGTATTGCATTACAGAATAAGAAATGTGTGCTCGAGGGGCAAAATTAACATGTTGGTTAGATTTTAGTCCATTGTGCAAATAGAATTGAAATATATATGTTTATAGACTATCTTGCTTCTGGTACTTTAATGCCAGCTTCCAACTGATTATTTACAAAATTTAGACGATTTGACTCAACTACCACTTCTAAATGTAGAAATGAATACAAAATTTCTCAAGACTGCCTTATGTTAGCAATTTTTGAAAGTGATTATGTTAGCTTACAGTGCCTAGCTGTATAAAAGATGCTTTAGGCTGGTAGTATTTATTCATAAGTTGGAACAGGAGTACTTGAATGGTTCTTCTTGAGCAGCTTTCATGTTCACAATCTTTATTTCAATCTTTTGGACCTATGAAAATTACAGAAATGTAAATAAAACTATTTGGTGATAATATGGTGATTACCCTTTTTACTCAAACAGGTATGTCTTTGTTCACTCTTTAACTCACATTTTCCAATCATTCAAATTGGTTTTCCTCTCATTCATTGTTAGTTATGAATTTATATGTTAGGAATTTATATGTTGACTGTATGTTGTTATCCCTCATTATGTAGGTTTTTTTAAAAAATGTTGCTGTCACACAGCCATTTCAGTACTCAATAACTATATTAGCTGTTGCTGCAATGTGTGTGGTGGCTGTCATATGGCAGAGGAAAAGAGCATGCTTGAAATGAAGCTTTTATTTGACTGGAATTCAAAAGAATCCTGTACAATAGTATTTGCAAAACTCTGCAAGCAGATGGGTTTTAGCCTGTAGATGCATTTGGCCAGTAATGCGTGCAGAAAAGGTCTGCAGCAGATAAATATTTGTAGAGAGACATATAAAGAGAATGGCCTGAGCTTGGTTCCCAAACCTTTAATGGAAGACCCTGCTAATCAAAGGCAAGGTGCCCAAGCTGAGATGTGTGGAAGAAGGCTGTTGCACACCACTTCTGTGTGCATTTGCCCAGGGACAGGAAGCCCATCACCCACTGTGTCCTCCACCACTGAGTTATAAAACTTGCATGTAGTTTTATAATAACACATGTAGTAATACGTTATTACGTGCATGCTGCTGTTGTAACCTTGCAGTGATGGTGCTTCATGCAAATATATGCAGGCAAATACAAAAGCCTGCATCTAGGACTGATCTACCAAGTAAAAGTATAAAATTCACTGAGTATAATGTCTCATACCATACAGACCACTGTGTAAGTATACCTGCACAAGAATTCCCATCAGCAGTATGGACTCTTACTCACTTTTCACCATTACTGCAGGAAACTCAAATTGGTTTTTAAAAAGTGGTTTGATTTAAAAATAATTTTCCTAGTTGTATACAACCAAATTTGCTATACCTTGGGTCCCCCACAAATTCATTGGTGTATTTCTAGGCTGTACAAATAGCCATTATTTTTCTGGTGTCATTAACTTTGTCTTTTTGCCATGGTGCTGTCTTGCCATATCTTCTTCAGTTATTAGTTGCTACAATAAACAGTAGTGGTGTTGGTGACTGAAGATGATCATGATGTAAATCTATTAAGTTCCATTACTGTCTGTGTGTCTTTTTCTTTTCATTTTCTTTCCTCTAACTTAAATAGTTAAGGAAGAAACATAACCCTAAGATTAATGATAACTGACTGATTTCATTTCCTAGTTTCATTTTTCATTACCGAAGTAATCCGATTTAGGTCACAGAGTTATGTTTCTAAAAGAGATGTTTGAAATCTAAACTTGGATCTGTCTCTGTAACAATTATACATGTATTTTAAAGTCTGGATTACTTGAAGCAATGAAAGCGCTCACACTTTTACTCTTGTAAAAAGGCAGTGTGTGTATGTCATCTTTGCTAGGTGGTGCACATGAGGGTCTCCAGCACTTGGGTCCTTACGGCAATATCCCAAACATTGTGGCTGAGCTGACAGGAGATAATGTACCAAAGGATTTCAGTGAAGACCAAGGATATCCTGACCCTCCAAATCCCTGCCCTATTGGAAAAACAGGTAATTCTGCTGTGGCCTTCTCACCTCTGTCTTCACTATACATTTTTCAGTCTTTCAGTGCTGTACTAAGCAGTTGATCAGCAGTGGGTGTTCCATTCTCTACCCAAGGAGCAGAACTGTTGATCGATCAAGGTGTTTTAGATAAGCTTTTTATTTTTTTATTATTTTTTTTATTAATATGCACACCTTCTGTATTGCTATATGAGTGCTAGAGAAGGTCAGGTGGAAGAAATCATGTTGACTTTGGAGTAGGAGATAGTGAGATTTATGACAGTGTTTTGTTCCTGAGGGAGTTCATTTTTAGGCTGGCCCCTGAAAAAAGTTATCATTCTGTAGAGATGAGATTTACCCTTATTTTAGAGACTTTCGTTGTGCCAAGAGGAGTGAAACTGTCTGCCCTGATCTCCAACCCAGACCATAAGTCAATATTTAAGATACTTTGGCTCCAGTCCATGTGGCTTTATAGCTCACTGAGGGTGCATCTGTGCCAAGAAACAGAGAACGACGTGGACGTACTCCAGCGCGTTGCATGCAGGGTCACTCTGGCAGAGGAGCAGTGCAGCCTCAGAGCGCAGAGCAGTATGGTACCCGAGATAACCAGTGTGTCCCTCAGCTTGCAGCTGCACATATACCAAGCAGTGCTTGGGTAGCTTGTGCTAAAGGGTGTCAAAAGCAGCACTGCATGTGCACGATATAGGCAGACCCTAAGGGAATTGATCTTTTTCCTGTTATTTGAGCTAAGGAATGACTTCCAGTTCTGAAAGTAGTAGTAAAATACCCATTGGCTGCCTTGGGAGCTGGAACTGGGAATGAACATTTTATTTTTCTCATTTTTTCATTTGTGAGCTAAGAGATCCTTTAAAAATCTTTTCTGTTTAGTCTTCTTTTATGTTATGTGGATAATGCAAACCAGTTGTCTGTATTCTTATTAAAAAATGTTCTAACTAGCTTAGAATTGATAAAAAACAAAAATGACATGAAGAGTTTTGCAAACAGTGTTTTTACATTTCACTCAAAAATATGATGAGACCTTGAATAGTCCTCCCTTAGTGTTTTCTATTACAGCATGTTTGGTGATGATGCCTGCATCTATTCTGAAATAATATCTAATCTTCCATTTTGTTCAATGTAACTGTTGCCTGACAGGTTGCAAATGATGGGTTTAAGTTTTCTCACACACATATCACACACAGAGACTTTCTAAGTTCTGTGCTTGCCCATTAGACTTCTGTTAGTGATTAGACAAATAAATTTAAAACCTGACATGCAGAGAAATGTATTTGAAAATCCCTTCAATTTTTCTTTCTTAGGTGAAATAAAAGTTGTTAGCTAAGCTAATACAGTCAGAGCTGAATGCAGGGGGAATTCTTAGGGAAGTGCTGCCTGCTAGGATAAATGGCTCTGTCGTAGGTACTCTGGGAGTGAAGATAGTATCTACTAGGATTAGAGTAAAATGCTTTTCAGAGCCTTAAATGGAAATTCAAGTGGTGACTGTATTATGCATACAAATTACCGGAGGCCTTCCTCAATCAGGTCTGTGAATTTCCTTAATGGAAAACAATTTCTCCAGTCACTGTCTACATATGCACATTCCACAGGAGGAATAAAGAAGACTGGAGCACTTGAGCTTGAAGACTTTTGGATTAGCAGTCACAGAGGGCACACATATGTCCAGCTGCCTTTTGAGTTTTCTACCAAAAAGACACAGATGCTCTGAGAAAGTCTACCACATTTCTGTTGTCACCTGCTTCTCTCTTGCAATGACCTTGTCCCTGCTGAGACTGAAATAATTTTTAAGTGCTTGTAACTAAGTTTAATGGTTTCTGTGTTGTTTAACCAGTGTGGTTAGTTTTCCCCTGTCTCCTATTGGGAATTTTATTTTTTTCCCCTGTTTTAAGGAGAAAAGAGAGAAAGCAGGATCTCTTGGACTTAGAATAACCTCCTTAGGTCATTGAATCAACTCATTTTTAAGTCAAGTCTTTACTGTTTCCCGCATCTAAGGGAGGAAGATAATCCATCTGCAAATCTTTTTACATGATGATCACACAAGGACAAAAGGGAAAGTTTGCAGGTGTCCGCTCTGGAGTGCCTGCATTCTAGCAGATGTAGCTGCTTGGGTGTCCAGCATCACGCCCCATGGTAGAATCTCCTTGGGTATGTCTGACAGGAACTCAGACTGCAAGCTCCTCATGTTGACAAAGCAGAGGGAGCTCCAGGAACAGACTGTATCCAAAGAGCTACTCTGGCCTCAAGTCACTGAATCTTCATTTAATCTAAAGATGACTTTTTTTTGGTAAAAACTCCATAAGCTGATTTTTAAAAGGCTATTATCCTTGAAGTGACACTGTCCGCAGAATCATCCATTGTGATTAAAGGAGGTTTCTGGACCCATCAGATACATACCAATCTGCAGAAATGTCTTCAGCATAAAACTTCTGCCACATTGCATTTTTATGAGCTCTTATGATGCATAAATGATTTTCAGCCATTTTGAACAAAGTAGCAAACCAGAAATGGAATTCATGAAGAGCTAAGCTACTCAGTGAAGGAAATTCTGTCTTTGCTCACAGCATTGTTTTACCATGAGTTTCAAAAGTATTGCCTGAACAATTTCTAAAGCTTCCTGTGGGCATTTAAAAATGAAAAGAGGATCTGATCCTTTCTGAACCAGAATAACATACAGTTCTATGTAAAATCAAGCTCAATGACTAATTTAAAAGGAAAACAAAAAGGACTGGGAGAGCTTGGAAAATAAATTTGTTCAGTTTCAAAGTTTCATTAAATTGTGTAGTTGGGATTTTTTTTTTTAATTAAATATATCTTGACAAACTCCTTTAAAAAAAAAAATCTGATATTTTCTAGTCATCTAGTTTTGTTTTTATTTTTTTTTCAGTTGCATAGTTGCATTTAAGAAGTTTGTTGCTTAATGTGGCACATAGTGCTTTCTAACATACTTTTGCAGTTGATGATGGGTGTCTAGAAAACACCCCAGACACAGCAGAGTTCAGCAGAGAATACCAGCTGCACCAACACCTTTTTGATCCAGAGCATGACTATCCCAACATGGGCAAGTGGGTAAGTACATGCTGCTTGAGTGTTTCTGTTGCATATGAAACTGGGTATTGTCTGCTGCATGGGATACTATGAAACCACAAGGAGAATATAGTGCTTATTGCTGGAAAAATTACTCTAAGGGAAACTTCTAAAAAAGATGGACTTGCCCTTAAAAATATAGGAATAATGACTGTGATTGGTGAAAAGCCCATAAAAATAGAAAGTAGAAATCCTTCTGCTATTACCTGTCCCAAAGCACAACAACTGTGTATGGGCTTGATAATGCAGCAAACCACATTTCAAACTGCAGTGAACATGTAATCGAAATTAGTCCAGATTTTAGCACAAGGCTTCGAAATGTGGCAGGGCCCTAATCTGAAAGATTATCCAGGTTCAGTGACTGTTCACTGTTCAGCTATTTAGATACTAAATAAAGAAATGGAGTGCAGCAGCACATGAACACCTTAAAAAATCTCGGTTCAAGCAAATTGGTCTGAGGAATCCTCTCTGGCATAAGGATTTTGAGGACTGATGCTGCTTCTTCCTCTGTTCAGGTTGTGCACTATATTACATTAAAAACCTATTTTGCACATTGCATATAATAAAGACAGCAAGCTGCACTAAGGGCAAAATTCTTGCTCTGAGCATACAAGGACCTTAATAACTCCAGCTAGACTATTTCTGGAGGGTAAAGGCTCCAAAGCGAGCTCTGCTGCTTAATCTTAGATTACATCAGTTAGATGTCCAATCCCAAATCCATTTTCAGGTGCCAGGAAAACAAGAACAATGATCATAATTTAGTCTTCTAGAGAAAATAATGAAATATCATTTTATATTGTTATAACACTCTAACAACTGAAGATTGCCCTGAACCAGCACTCTGTAAGCATATATCGATAAATGGACATGCTTGGCAGCCTCTGCTCCTGCTGTAATTGTGAGACAATGATTCATCATTCATAATCGAACCAGTGAAGATTTATAGTCTTAATTACTTATGCGACTGCTAAATTTCTAGAGAGAATCATGCCAAATATCCAAATTTTGGAAACTCTTGTTGCATTCTAAGTAATTACCATCAAAGGTTTTCATTTTAAAAACACCAGATGGTGAACTTTCTTGTTTATGCCAGATAATGCTGTTATTTTTCTTATTATTCATAAGTAATTTACTTTCATAATACCATTTTGAAGACTATAAAAGCACCTCTGTAAATCTTTGGCCTATAGCAATATTTCAGAATCAAGCATACATACTACATTGTCATCAGCAACATATACACTTAACAAATCGTAGGTAATCATTAGTGAATACTGGCCTTTTTTATTTCTCCATCCATCACTGCTAATTCAGGGGAAAAAAGCTGCTCACGCATGGATTAAAACAGACTGTTAGGTACTAAACAGTAATCATATCTAGCTGCAGCATAGCCAAGTCCAGATCTTTTTAATTAGTGATGAAACAGCTGGTAATGTGCATGAGCAAATGTTCTGCTGAGATCCAGAATTGCCCCAATTGCCTCCTCATTGAATATTACTACACATTAAAAAGATAAATACAACCGTATCTGGTTTTATGGCTAGTTTTGCTATTTTTATCTCTCTAGAAAAGTAAGATCAGAAAAGCACTCTAAAAATTAACTGTTTGAGACTTTATAAATGAGAGATAAAGTAGATCAGATCTTTTAGGTCACTAACTGTCATCTGGATTTAGGTTGTAAATGACCAACAGAGCCAACTGTGTGCATCCTCATCCTCCCACTGCCCCCAGCCACCAGAATCCCGTCTGTCCATCAGCAGCCCATTCCCGCTTCTCCTGTGGAAGAGCCTAGGACCAAATGCCCCAGGGGCTGTAATGGCTTTGTATTTACGGACTGCATTTCCACCAGCTCCTGCGTGCTGTGAAGGCACTAGGCTGTCACCACCATCTGAAGCCCTTGGAGCCAGAGTGTCTCCTGGACCCGTATGAGCTGGCGTGTGCTCACAGCTCTTGGGGGAGCTTCTCCCCTGCCTTTTCCTGCCACAGAGTGGTTGAGGCAGCGTTGTAGTTCCTTCTGACTTGTCCTTTCAAGGAGCCAGCACGCATTCCTTAGTGTAACCACAGTAAAATCCAAATTACGTTAGCAGGTCGGGGGGAGGGGGGGAGGGGGGAAGAGCCACTCGTTCATGAATAATGGGAAAGAAACAGGTTGGTTGATTTGTTTTGGTGACAGACTCTCATGCTTGCAAAGCTGTGGGACCTCTGCAGTACCCTGTGAAAAGCAGACACAAGAGTAAAATAAGTCTAGAAGCTATCTCATACAGGAAAGTGTATGATTCCATGTAGACGCTATGTGTAGATACTACTAATAGATAGGATGGTACAGTATATGAATCATAACAAATGTATACTGGATTAGGAGAGGGAAGAGAGGAAGAATTTTCATGTCTTTGGGTCAACTTTCCATATATCAATGTGCTGACCTGTGGGAAGTCTTGGGAACAAGCTGTTTATATGGTGAGATAGACAGCTTATGCTCTCCCCCAGCCCAAGGACTCTTTATTTTCTTTTTTCTCCTCATACATGGAAAACCTAGAGGGGATAGTGGGACTAGTAAGATAAAGAACTTTTGGAAGTTTATACGCTATTGTGCAACTGTAGTTTTTAAGATTTATGTTGTTGGTTGGTTTGTTTTCTTTTCCCTTCAGTTCAGACTTTTCCTTTTAGGAGACAGGTACTTTCCATTTTAGTCTGCTTTTTCTGCATCTTGCAATTTGACTCTTTAGACAGTCTGAAAAACTGCTGTTGGCATCCAGAAAGAGTTGCAAAAAGATAGCATACAATATAGAATTTACAATACAAATCTAAACCCCACTTATATGTAAGTTATTTATTGAAACCCCAAGTGTTAACCACTACCACATGTAGGGGTTAAAAAGAGGAGGGCAATTCAGCTGTGGTTTCTGACATGAGTATCAGTACAAATGGAAAATTAAAAGCAACTATGTTTTTCAGTAACATCTCTTTTTACTGAAGCAATGGATAACATTTCACTCTAAGGGTAGAAATAATGCCAGTTTTGCTTGTCAGCTACAGTGGAGGGTTCCAAGACAGTGCAAAGAAAGGCAAATGGGAAACAGGGATAAAAATATTTGACAAAGTTGAACTTCTTGTTAAAGAAGTTATCATCTCTGGCTTCCTAATTGTAATGTAAACATGAAACTAGTTACTCAGATTTAATTAATTCAGTTACAGTGAGTAACACTAATCCTTCTTTACCAAATATCTGGATGGCAATGGTGAGTATTAGTACAGGTTATGGTAGGTTTTCAATTTCAGACAGTACAGATTGTTTAATTCAGTGTAGTATGCTTGGTGTAATAAAAATTGTCATGCTTGATATTCCCAATAAGACTAAATTGGCAGAAAAAAAGCCCTTCTGAAAGGGCTGAAAGCTTGTTAATGCAATTTGCTTTTTCAGTTTTGCTTAATAATTGTGCAGGTCCAGATTACAGAGCTGCTGCTTATCACTGATTTAAAGAAGTTTCAGCGAAGTCTGAAAGATCTAAGGGTAACTCTCCCTAACCTTAGTTGGTTAATTGTAAGCATTTCAATTTCTGAGTTTTTCCCACCCAAATCCCAACCTGTAGTGTCCTAATCCAAGTAGCCAGGAGGGTGCAAAGGAAGCTCCAGAGTTAGGGGAAAGCAGCAATTCACATGCAGCATGTCTCCATATGAGGTGTATCTTTAACTGGAGAAATTCTGCCTTCATTCCTAACAGCTCCTAAGTGATGGATGAGAATGGTGAGCACTTCATGGGCAAATTTTGGTGCCTGATGAGCTTGGGCCCTTACACAGTGGAACATATTTTCAGGATTGCTATAACCATACAAGAACACTCTTAGCTCATGCTCCATAACCTCATTTGCTTTGCACTCCACATAATGCTTAAGTAGTAGTTACAGTCTTAAACATTCCCAAAGAGACTAAACAAAATATGATCTTCCTGAGCAGGAACAGTTCAATTGTAAGGAATTTTCCTGAGTGACAGAAATTTTAGCTGCAGTAGTCATGAAATTCTTTCTGTTTCAGAAATGCTATTCCTCTGTGGAAGGTATAAGGTCAAATAGTTTACAAAGAAAGGCTTCAGCAGTGCTTTGTTCCATAAATAGAATAATTTACACATCTGAAGTTTTCTTAAAAATGTTAAACTGGAATTTTCCCGAAGTGAGTTTGCATAAATGACTAGTCAAGAACGTCTCCCTTGGCCAGCTTCATCTGTTCCCTTTTGGCACAACTCAGACAAAATAACTGAGGTTGGGCAAGAGATGGGCCTTGTGAATTTGGGGTTTAATGAACATGAGAAGTACAAAACAGACAATTTTGGCAGATTTCATTGTAACACTTGAAAATGTTTGTTTTTTCTCATATCAGGGCTGCAGAGAGGATAGAAGTGTTTGGTGAATTTGTCTTGCGCTAGAATTACACTTTCTATTTATACAAGCAATGTTAGGTCAGTTGTTTATAGCAGAATTAATGGCCTTGTTTATACAGTGTTCTGCTTTTATACATGTAATTCTTCTCTCCTTCCATTTTCAGGTTAGGGTTTAGTTTTGTTTTTCTTCATAATACACAATTGAAACAAAATGTGTTGAGCATGTGTGTTATTCCAGACTTTGTTAGAATTCACTTACTTGTATGAAATACAACAATATGTGGATGCACTTATGTAAACTATGGTCAGAGGGGTTTTTTGTGTTGTGTTTTTTCTTCTTCTTTTCTCATCATCGTAACTTTCTCTTCTGCCAAGATGTTTTTGGCAGTTTTTAAAAGGTTTGCCATTAAAAATGTTATAGACCAAATGGTTTTTAGAGACTTTATTGAGGGCACCACTTAAACAAAGGAAGAGTTGGCACTGAACTCCTTTCAGCAGAACTTTGCACTGGGAAGTGTTGATATCTGGAATGGAATAAGCAAAGACAACAAAACAGTAGGAATGACGCCAATTGCTGTTTTTAAAAGGAATTACAAAATCCCTTGTAAAGCAAATATTTTTGCTCCTGTTCTTGTGGCACCTCGAGTGTATAGAAACATGTATCAGGGGCAGGATTCCTGCTTCTTCTCCCTCCCGCTCTTAATTTTCATTTTTTCTGTTGTCTTTTTTCTTTTTTTCATTATATATATTTATACTGTGTATCACATGATGGGGAACATCCAGTCAATATCATTACACCAGCACGTACTTGAAGCACTTACTGCCTGAACACAGATGATAATATAATGCAACATAGTGGAAAATTACTGGCTTTTAAATTGTCAATAAGACTGTGACTGCTCCTGAAGAACTGCAAAATGTTAGCAGGAATATCTAAATATTTATTTGTGGTTTATCTTTCCCATAAAATTACACACCCCTCTAAACTTGGTAATAATTAACAGCAAAAGTTATGTTTTTAAAGAAAAGTGTAATGAATTTGATGGCTGCATTTCTTCTCCTTCCAGAGCAAGAACTTACTCTTTGAGAAGATCAGTGGTGGTCCAAAAAGAAGAAAGAGGGTAACTATCAAAATACTTTACAGGCCCTGTATCATCTAGAGAGCTAATAAGAATTAAAGTCATACTGTTGAAATGAATAGTCTCATGCTTCTGCATTATACCATACATAATGTGTAAAGTCAGGGAATCTCTGTGATTAACTACTACAGCAAGCTTCAGGACTGTCTACCAAGTACAAGATGTATTTCTCTAAATATCCTGTTGCTTTCAGAAGATGCACTTCAATGCAGAGCATTAATTTAAAAACCCTTATATTAGCTCTGTTTTAAAATTTATGCTATTTGCATAAAACCATTTAAAATTATTTCAATGTCTTTAAAACATAATTTAAGTTTCCTACTAAAATATTGGCACAATTAATTATCACTACCCATGCATGTGAATATGGTTTTGGGTGTAAATGACAGTAGAGCTGGTTCATTAGCTGATGTAATTTGATTCACTTATGTACTTAGGTTTACCGCAGGTTAAACTCCTGCCTTTTTGTCCCACTTGCTTGAAAGACAAAGATGAATGCATTCTTATCTCTCAGCCCCTGAAAGAGGAAAGCAGTCCATGTATCACAGAGGAGCTCTGTGCAGTCCACCTCACTATCTTCTATCTTCTCTCTATTGTTAGTAGTGTCAGCCTTCCTTTTATCAAAAAATCACTTTCAGGCAGAGTCAAGTCTTCAGATTTGCCGCTGGTATATATATATATATA